ATCCCTAGTCCAAGACAGCCAGCAGGATTAGCTGAAACTCTGCCCTCCTGTGCCTTGAGGGAGTCCTCCTCTTTCACCCCTTTCCCCAACAGGGGAAACCAAAGAGATTCTTGCTTACCTTTCTCAGCACTATTTCCATGACCTCTATGAACTCTAAGGCTCAGTACCAAAGGCGCCATAATACACATCAGGTACGTTAAGTCAACAGTCCTGGTCCGACCCACCTTCATCAGAAAAGATTGTCTTGGATTCAGCACTTAAATCATCCAAGTCATATTAAATCAGAGCTACTACATCTTACGTTTTTAATTAATATGATACCATGGACTTGGATAAGTCACTTATTTCTTCTGAGCTTAAGTGTAAGTGGGCAATACCAGCCCCACTTACTCAGAAAATGGGAATATATATATATATATATATACACACATCTATTACAGATAAAATTAGAACATGTAAATAAGCAAGATCAACCATCATCACGTCATACCTTTCTTTATATTTCTGACTGGAGAAAGGGGAGTAAGAGCTAAATAATTGGAAGGAGTGAAGAGGTAAGTGGGTCCTGGATCCAAAATCTGAGACTGGAAGGGCCACTCTAGGCCCATGCTGGCCAGAGGAGGATTCATCCCATCTGGTCCTCAGTGCTTCCTCCCTTTACTGCTCCCCAGCACCCAGCACAACCACATGTAACTGTTCAGAACGGACCCGAACCTATCCTCCAAGCATGGGACACTGCTCATTTGTTCTGAATATTCTAACAACAGAGCTCCCTCCCCAGCTGGGGTCTTTCTTTCCAATCATTATTCAGATGAAAAGGCTAAAGAAAACTAAAGACTCCTTGATCGCTCTTCACGGGGTGAATTATACAGTGAAGAGTTGGGCCTGCCACTCTTGAACCTTAATTGCTAATTCATCAAAATTAAATGGGGAAATGTTCAGCATCATAGAATCCTAGGCTGAAGGACACATTAGAAATCACTACCTTCAACAGATTATAAGAAGACACAAACCTGCCAATGACTAAACAGTTAATTATGGATGATCTAGAACTGGAATCCAGCCCTCAACTCCCAGGTCAGGAATCATTCCACTAACCAAGCCCTCATGCTACTACTATTAACATTAGACCAAGCGCTAAGTACTCACAGCAAGACTACCCACGTAGTGCTTTAACTAAAATTACTAGCACTAATACTCGGGTCTGCATAAACTAGATACCCATCAGAACCGTGTATCTACATTTTAAAGTGTGATGAAAATATTGAACAGCTTCCTCTTTTAATGTAGAGCGGAACATCCAGGCTAGGGGCTGATAAGCCTGGGGTTGGCTGTGACAAAAGCATGAAAGATGTTCCAGTATGAACAAGGAGGCTTGTGGGAGGAAATGAGAACAGAGGAGGGGGAGAAACCGGAAGGGACACAGGGTGGAAAGGAGATGATGGATGTTGAGGTGTCGGCAGTCTCTAAGAGTGACTCTTCCTTCTCCAGGAAGACTGACACTCGAACTCTTTATACTGCAGCCTATCCTCACACAGTCACCATGCAGCTACCTGAACACAAACCAGCCCAGGTAACAACCACTCCCCCATACCTACCTTTCCCCTGCAGGCTGGGTTAGAAGCCCCTTCAAAGCACCCCACAATACTTACTGCAGATCTGTTACTATTTTTGGATAATGCTGCTACTCCATAACTCTACGGTCCCATTCCACAACTGGTATCTCTACCACCAGACTGGCTCTTGGCAGGCAGCGTCTGTGTCTTACGGATCTTATCAACTGTACCATAACGGACATGGTAGTAACCCACTGACTGGTAATGCATGAAAAAACAACGTCTTAACTCAGCCACCACCTCTTCTGAGAATGGGTTTCAGAACTGGTTTGAGTCGGGTGCGCCTCTGCCAAGCTCTGTAGCACTGATGTGGTGGTCATCATGGGACCATTAGGACCCAAGATAAAATTACTTGAATGCTTCCTCAAGTCACCGACTAGATAGAGCACTCACTGAAAGCAAAGACCATTATGTCTTTGGTGCTTGATGCTTAGAAATCACAGGAATAGGATCCATGTTTCCAGAATGGGTACATAAAAAAGTTAATAAAGCCAAAGGAATGCCAAAAGAAATGTGGACCAAGCAAGCGATCTTCATCACAGAGATGCTCTAAGGCTCTCCCTGAAAACACATCGGAGTGGGATCCTGAGCATCAGTAGAACTCTGGTGTTTCCCACAGCCCCTACCACCAGGAAAGGATGAAATGCTACTCATGTTCAGGAACAAAGGTTTAGTGAACCCTCCTTCAAGTCTTATGGCTATGTGGCACCTGTTGCTAAAATAGCAGCTGATAAGCATTTTGTTCTGTTCAAAACAAAAACAAAACCAATCTATTGCAGGGAGCAGCATCACAATGACAATAAGAAATCATGAGGCTAAATATATACCAGGAAGAAATACAAAATTTTAGCAATGAAAGACGAGGAAGGAGCTGCTGGAGCCTGAGGAAAAAAAACTGAAGTGTTGATTAGAAATTGCTCAGCCTGCGTAGAAAGAGAAGCAAAGAGAGAGGGGTGAGAGGGAAATGAGAGGGAGAGTTAACTGGGAGGGGGGAAAGCAAGGGAAAAAAGGAAGGGAGAGAATTCATGTGGCTTTGGAGGGGGCTCTGTCTCATTGTTAATCCGTCTTTTCCTTTCTCCCTCCCATTCTACCACCCCCTCAAAAGCATTCATTGATTGGATTAGACTAAAATTGCTTACCTTTCCTTGCATGGTTTCTCCGTGAAGAATGAGTCTGAATTCATCTCACCCTTGACTGCTGCTCTCTCCTCTAGCCCCCTCCCCAGCCGCCATTGTTAGCTCCTCTACTTTGCTCAGGCTGAGAAGCAGCCTGTCCATCGGTCCCCCTGACAGCAGCAGTGGGATGCAAGGATGGGGGGGTTGGTGGCAAAAGATTGCCAAAGTTGGCCTCCGCAGGGCGGTGAAGCCCCAGATGTCTGACAACTGCGGTGGCCTTAAATACCTAACTTGTTGCCTGCTTCTAGGTGCAGATGGCAGGAAGCACACAGAAAACATCACCTCTTCAAAACAAAAATAAATGAAACAAGACACCCTCCCACCAAAAACCCAGAGAAGCATATTGGCAGCTTGCAAACAGGACTAGTCCAGGGCTGGGGAGAACTGGGACCCACCCCCAATTACCAGGGTGCTGCATGCATATTGCTCCTCTGGGCTTCCATTTCTATAAAACAAGAGCCAGATTTCTGTGGCCATTCCACAGATCTGATTCCATTTCATAGAAGCTCTGAGCCCTCTAGAGAAAGCCATGTGTTCTCCTCCCCCCACCCACCGCGAATCTCCCCGGTGCTTCTCTTGGGCAGACTCAGGGGGTCTTGAAAGCATCTCTGACTCAGACCCCTCCCCAGATGCCTGGCTGACTTCAGGGAGGCAGCAGTAAGAGGACCCAGGCTGAATTCCCCTAGAGATGAAAATTGAGAAGTAGAGGCAAATTTAGGAATCAGAATCAGTGAGGGTGACAGGAGAAGGCACTGGGAGGACAGGAGGGGGGGAGGCATGGATTAGCCAAACCCTGAAATTAGAGATGATTCATATTTGAATACCGTGGGAGGGATGAACTCAGAGCAGCCAAGATAGAGGCTAACTCTGCGGAGGGTGCCCTCCCCAGTCTGTACCCAGCAGGGGGCAGGAGCAATTGCCAGAGGCCTTTCATTTGAAATAGGAAAAAAACAGGCAATCAACAATCTTATTCTGAAGCTAAGAGAAATGGGGTGTTCGCCTCTGAGTGTTTTTTACCCTCTTTCAGTGAGGGTAAATATCCCTGCCTGGGATATATATATATTTTTACTCTGCTTCCCCTTTCCCTAGGGACTTGATTTTTCTCAGATCTCCTGGTGAGTGCTGTTCCCCCTCCTGCCAGTCACAGCCGCAGCCTGTCTTCATGACCTTTCTGACACCTTGTTCCATCCCCTCCTGGTGTTGAAGAGCTGTCCCAGCTCCCAAACCTTCCTCACTCCCACCCTAGCCCTCAGCAAGGCGTGTTTCTGAGTTTCTCAGGCTTGGCCATCCTGGGAACTTGGCCCCTAGAAGTACAGAGTTGCCACATAGGTTAGCGTGTTGGAGGGTAGCATATTAGTGTATGTTTGAGATACACACTAAGTGTATTCACTGGGGGAACTGGTACATATACATTTCACATCATGATCTTTTGTTACTTCCTCTTGCCCTCCCCTCCCTCCCTCTCGCCTTTCCTAACCCCAGGAGGAGGAGAAGAAAGTTGTCAGAGGAGAGGAGGACAGGAAGGGCTCCGCTACATCAGGGCTGGAGAGAAGCTCAATGTCTCTGGACCTCTCTGCTACATCTCTTTACTGGGGGGAGGGGGCTGCAGCTGCTCAAAAGGATCTGTTTTTACCTTGGGACCACTCTCCAAAGGGCACCAGGGGCAGAGCCAGGCCCTAAACTCCAGGACCAACCAAGCCTCCGCGTCCCCACCCCCTCCTGATTCCCCTCTTCCCTGTACCCCCAGGAAGCCAGAAGGAACGTCCCTGGGTCTCCCGCCTTCTCCAGGAAAGGAACTGGGGAGACCCTCCCCTACCACCCGCCTCCAGAAAACCAGTGCTCTTCGTGGATCAGACCCTGTGAGCCAGGCTTTGCCCAGGACTCAGCATACCAACTCAGGGTGAGACCGAGGAAGAACCGATCTATGGAGGGGAAACACACATTTCCAGAACCACCTCACAGCGCCAGTGAGTCAAACACCTGCATCTCCATCCGGCTCAATTGTAATCGGGCTTCTCCCCAGCCTCCATCACACACCACACACACACACACACACACACACACACACACTCACACGCGCACGTCCCCCTCCCCCTAAGCAGCTCTAAAACACCATAGATCAGGAGGCAATCGAGGGTGGGGTGAAAGCAGCCACCACTGTGGGAATCTATATGTAAAGTTCTTCGTCTACGCAGAGAACGACTCTTACCTGTTAGCCAGAAGAGAGCACGCCACCCC